TTAACATCACTGTTGCTCTGTCGGTTCTACTATGCTATAAATCAAGGGTTGGCAACAGATTTGGTCCTGGAAACCAGTCCGCCTTATGGGGCTAATCCAGGAGATCAGGCAACATGGGGAGCACATATACACATGAGAACAAATAGTTAGAAGCTTACTGGCAGGGATGTTGGTAAGTCTTTGGCAATACTTTTGGCTGATATTCAGCGGTCCTCCATGATCATGTCAGTTACACATAGACACACAGACACACACAGACACACAAACAGAGGGGGGGGAGAGAGGGAGGAGCCTGGGGAGGCTTCTAATCTGCAATTTCCCTCTGCAGCCTGTTAAACAAGGTTCTAGCCAGAAAAAGGAGTGTTTTAAAAAATAAGGGAAACAAGTGTTGTTTAATTAAAAGAATAGTGACTCGAAAAAATGACTTGGGAAAAAGGCTCCAAGTCACCGATTGAGCTCAAGTCATTAAAAAAAACCCAGGTGAGTCAAGTCTGAGTCGAGTCACTACTGTGACTTAAGTACAACTTGAGTCTCCATCAATGCTTATTGTTTTGAGCTGTGAAATTACTGCTTTTTGCTTTGTAGTATAGATGGTCTTGATGTTAGCAGAGTTTTTGTGCCTGTTTATGGAGCAATGCTTCTAGAAGTGAAGGATTGGCCTGCTGCACCTGGTTGCCCAGAGGATGCCTGAGCGTGCTCACAATGCTTTTCCACTCTTCAGGGAAAAGCATCCTTCTAACGTCCTACACCAAGAAGGCTCAAATAGGGAAATACGGTCCTTCAAATAGCCTGGACCCATGCCCTACAAGGTTTTATAAATCATAACAACGAGTTTGAATTGGGGTCAGAAATAGACTAGCAGCCAGTGAACCTGAGCTAACAGAAGCATTCATTATATGATGCATTTTAAATATACAGTTATATGCAAGCATGCAATGGTAAGGTCATATCTGTGGTTTGCAGATAAATGTAGGAGGACTTGATGAGTTTAAAAGGGATATAAAATGTTTCACTCTTACATAAACCTGGGCAATTTTTTCAGGCAGCTGTGATTCTTGCAGGTATCATACACTAACACACAACTGACACCTGATGTTCTTGATTCAATATCCCAAACTCTGCCAAGTTCTAGGAAAAGCTGTTGTGTAATATATGCTCTCTAGGAGCAATCATAAGTACTCGAATGTGTACTTCAGAAATTATGCAGTAACTACATGAGTAGAGGCTATGACTTGATGCAGTTATTTACTTTTGAGAATGAATTCAAGTTCAAAACAAGACAGACTTATCTACAAAAGAACTGGCTCTAACCTACAAACTTTTCAGTTTGTGTGCTACATCATATGTTTTACACATTTTTGAGGGCTGAAGAAGGGGGACCCAAGTGATCCCCCACCCCCTTTGTCTTTTCAAAGACAGTGGGAGATCACTTGGGTCCCCTTTCCCTCCTCTTCCTATGCCCGAGTGGGGATAGGAAGAGGAGCGAAGCCTGATCTAAGTGATCCCTCACCCCTGCTGTCTTTGCAAAGACAGCAGGGTTGGGGGATCGCTGCTGTCTATGGAGTACTGCTGAATTTAGTTAACTAAGACAGTAACTTTTGCTTAGAGGATGTGGATACAATTCTTACAGAACCATACATTCAACACCAAATGCAACACATGACACTAGTAGGCTGTGTGTGCAATTCTTGCCCTGCTCAGTCATTCTTTTTTCACACACAAAAAAGCCACTTGTGGGAGTGGGACCACACTCACTGACACTGACCCTTCATTGTGTAACTGTCACTTGGCTTTATTGTCCTCCATGCGTTTTTTGCAGGAATGACGCCTGCCAAAAAAAGGCAGGAATTTGTCTATATGGGGTTCTAAATCATTCAGAGAACCTAGATCTTCACCTTCTAGTGCATGAAGGAAAAGAGTGTTAAGCAAGAAAAACACATTGGGGCAAAAGACAAAGCAGCACAATCTCACAGTGACAACTGAATAGGGTTAACTTCCTGAGCAGAGCTATGAAATATAGAAAGAACACTATATTCAAACAGATCCTCACATATGGAAGAAGATTACACAGGGAAGAGATTATGACACAATCTAACTGTTCTCACACATAAATATCTGGAATCCAGGCCCTCTCACCTCTGGCATCTCTTAATGGCACTTTTAAAATATTTGGGCTATAATGCAGGAAAGCAACAGAGAGAACCAGGCCTTTTACTCTCCCAACGTACTAATATAATAGATATCACAATAATGGAATCTAAAAGATGGACACATTATGTATACAAGCTGCAGATTTTCTATTACTTCAAACATTACACCCACCTAAAGGCCATTCAAATTTAAGCAATAAATCAAAATCCAGCAATAGAATAATCAGATAAAATTCACTACTTGTTTGTTAAGCAAGAACCTACTTCACATTATAAGCCTTCTAAATCCTATTGAAGTATGACCTCCATAAGCTGGAACAGTATCATGGCGATTTCTATTAGTTTTAGACACAGCACGGAGAGAACTGGGACCTTTCTATTCCTGGACAAGAATTTGGTCAAACAGCCCTGGCTATAGCATGAAACACAAAGCAACAGAATCCACAGTATTTTAAAAACAGAAATCCATTTATCAAAAATGCCAAAAGGTTTTGTCTCCCACCCCACTCATACCCCCTTCATATGGCAATTATAAATCCAGCAAGTCGCAGCACTGGAGAAATCCATCTCAGAGCTCCCTCCCCCTTACTTGCTATTTTTAGCTATTTCATCTGACAACGCCCGACGACTAAGCAGGCAAGAATAGTAGAGGGGATTATCAAGTACCAGCAGTGAAAACAGTGAACCACAATCACTTCCTCCATAAGGAGAAATGAGTGTTTTTCATGTCTTTAGGACACCACAAAACTGTTCTCTTTAAAAGGCCATGTTTAAACACACCAAATGACAATGAAAATAGATAATGCTTTCCTGAAACAGTGTTGTTCCCCTATTGTTATTCTACTATGTTGGTCTCTGTACAAGGAAAGAAAAACACAATATTTTTCTGTCAGTACTTTTGAGAGACAAGGGCTTGTCCCCATTATTTTAGGATATCTCCAAACCAACCCCCACCCCAGCACATACGTATCTTACTAAGATCTATCAAGAATATGCAGTATCATTAAACCATGAGAGAGATCACACATTTCAGTGATGAAGAAGACTGGCCAAGACTACAAACAATAACTCAGCAGAGGTCATAATTCATCTATAGTGCACATAGTTTTGCCTAGGTTCAGTTGCCTGGGTCTCCAGTGCCAAAGGCTCAACAATTACACAATGTTTGGTTGAGTTTCTCTGCAATAGGAAAAGCAACAGCAGATATTTCAAAAAGATAAAGGTCTGCTAGGCAAATGCCTGTCACAAGTTCCAGTCTGCTTCTTCCCAGTTATGATGGGCCTGATGGACGTGCTCCAAGAACACTATCCATGGAGCTACAGAAGTGAGTGAGTGTGTATACGTATATGTGTGTGTCAATATACAAGAACGATCACTGGGGAATACTTATTGGATAGAGAAAAATATGCATGTAATTCTGGATGCTCAATGTACAAATTATTATTTTAAGAAAAGTGGGTGGAAAAGGGCAATTAGATCACTCTGGATTCTCAGTTAAAATGCAAATTATCCTAGTAGTCAAACTACAACTCCTATGCACATCTTGCTCTAATTATGAAATGTGAATTCTCAACCATGCAGTTTCTTACAAACAAAATCACGTCTAAAACTCAGTAAAAAATTAATGTTCACCTCACCACAAAAAAAGGTTCTACCAAAAGACCAGAGTTCTGGAAAAGGAGTATGCACATTCACAGTGTATCATTCTGTTGCTTATTGCTGGCAATTAATGAGTCACTGCTGGGATTCTCATGGGCCTGCATATCTGTAAACCACTTCTGAATATTCTCTACCTTGAAAGAGTTGCCATGAGTCAGAAATTATCTGTCAGCACACAATTATTACTAAAAAATGCTAAGCAAATAACAGAAAAACAAAGGCATAATTTCCAAGATGGTTTTATATTAAATATCCTACTTTTCACATGTATACTGACAATGTCTGAATACATGCTGCTGCTTACATATCCACTGAAGAAAACTGTAATAATAGCGGGAGACTTTGGCATACATCACCTTTCTTGCTTACCTACTGTTCTGTATCATCTAATTCACCCTTTCATTTCATGCTATCATAACACTTCACAGAAAGGATAGAAAAATCCCATATTATATAATAATATCGTAAATAATGATGGTTCAGTTAACTGTAAAACAAGCTTAATAAAAGACATGAAACTTTGTTCTGAGCTTTTTCCCCAAAACCTATTGCCAACTGTCCTAGCAATGAGGTCATTATGGTCACCATCACAGAGAAATGACAGCTGTTATTCCCAAACACATTTTTGAAAGAGGAGCAAATATAGCTATAACATGTCTGCCATTTTTCCTTTAGGGCATCTGACCTGCACTGGCCGCCAAGGCTGTCCTTAACTGTCGAGTCAAGTAGACTTTGTCTTCATTTGATCAGACCTGACATTCAGCCCCAAATGTTATTAAAATGTTAGCTTACTTCATATCATTAGTGCAGTTGTCCCTAAACATATCTATTCCCTCCTCTACATTTAAAATAAACAAGCAAAAATAGATGTTCAAAGATGAGGAAAGTGTGAGAAGATCTCCCTCCACAAGAGACATACAAATGCATGCCACAAAAATATTTGTCATGCCAGGGTCTTTGTCCAGGAGGCTCATCTCACTGATCTGGGCAAGACCTGGGTTTCCAATCTCTAAGTGAAAAAGTTCCTTTAGCACTCACCCAAGAGGCAGCAGTTTAGCAGGACTGTCTTTAGCATCCTCAGTTGCAGTGGCCAGGACATTTTCCTTTTGCCACATCCACTGCTAGATCACGCCAGCTCAAAGACATGCAAGCATTGTAAGAGTATAACTATTTTAAGAATTCAAAACTTACCTCCAATTCCTTAATTTTCTCTTCTGCTATTTTTTGCTTTTCTAAGAGCTGGTTGTGAATTACTCCTTTGGATTGAAGGATAAACCTATAATAGTGTGAGAAAAGGAGACGGTAGAAACATAAAATAAGCTAGTTTATTATATATAAACTATACAAATAACCAATCAACATCTTACTTTAAAAAAACCACATAGGAACCTGCACAAACAGGCCCCTGACCTTAGCTGAATTGCCACACCTTGCCCAGGCATGGCTTCTACATTTACTGAACAGCAACAATCAAACAGTTCAGGGCATGGTGACAACAATCTGTAAAGACTGCCTGCTCTACTAGTAGTGTCTCCATTCAGAATTAATATCCCATTTCCCTGGGCAAATGTTTGGTTCTGCTTTGTTTCACACCTCTGCACTTTTGTCACCCATAATTATCAGCACATCTTGTTTTGGTGTGTGATCAGCATTTTCCTAAACATTGCACAAATCTTTTCTGTTACTTCTTCAGCATCTGTAGCTGGAGAATTGGTTTGAATGATGGTTATTTTCAGATTCCCAAGAGGTGTGGTAGATATTACTCAGTTAAGAGTTTACATTACAAAACCAAACTGCCTGTGCAACATCTTGTTTCCCTATCAAAGACCCACAATTTCTTCTCAGTTTGTCATTTTGAAAGTATGTTTTCTGTCTCATTGAAAAAGTCCTGTTCTGATCATGTTACTTCACTCACATCAAAGTTTTTTTATTATTATTAAAGCATTTATTGGCATTAAAACCCAGTAATTGTACAATAAAGATTATGCTTTCTACTACAGTAAGATAAATATGGTCAAGTTACGTCAAAGCTCCTTGGCACAGTCAGTCTAGTTCATTACAATAGCAAGATATTCAGCTACCCGCTCAGTCAAATCAGGTTGTTTATCTGCTAACATCATTTGGATTAAGCTCTCAGGGGAGCCAATGAAATTTGAAATAATAGAGCTAAGTAGTAATTGATGGGGCTCGCTAAATGTAGGGAAGAAGAATATGTGGGATTGAGTCCGGTTCTACTAGACAATGCTTACGCTGACGGTTCTTAAAGGGGATTTTACAATATCTGCCTAAAATTACAATATCTGCCTAAAAGAACAGCAGAGGGGAAAATAGTAAATCTGGCCAGCATAGAAGCCTGGCACCACGATGGGTTAATAAGACTGCACACCAAGTAATTTAGACATTCCATACTTCTCACATTTCATGTTCCAATTGTATGTGTCATGCAGCATCAGACTTTCCTTTTGCCACTGTGCAAATGGGCCATTAAATGTTGTCTCAGTTTTAATCCAGACTCTTCAAAAGCAGCAGCATTGTTTGCTCTTGCCAACAGTTAACTGAGCACCTTCTGACCTGAAAGTGTCATCTTCCGGCATTATCTCTTGTTTCATTTGGACTGCTTCATCACAGGGTTTTCAAGGTATAAAATATTCAGATGGGTTTACCACTGGCGTTGTTTAAGTAGTACTAACAAGGTTTTGCTTGAGTTTCCCTGCCACTGTCTACAAAAGATCATCCAAGAGTTTACCTTCCACTGCTACTGCCACTGCTCAGTGCCTCCCTTCCTGAATTTCTCTTCCCATAATTCTACTGGAATCATCAATTTACTTCTGCTAATGTAAAAATGTTTTGCTTCAAAAAAAAAAAACCAGAGACATCACCTAGCCAACAAAAGTCTGAATACTCAAAGCTATGGTTTTGCCTGTAGTGATGTACGGAAGTGAGAGCTGGACCATAAAGAAGGCTGACCGCCGAACAATTGATGCTTTTCAATTTTGGTGCTGGAGGAGACTCTTGAGAGTCCCCTTGACTGCAAGGAGAACAAACCTATCCATTGTGAAGGAAAATAACCCTGAGTGCTCACTGGAAGGACAGATCCTGAAGCTGAGGCTCCAATACTTTGGCCATCTCATGAGAAGAGAAGACTCCCTGGAAAAGACCCTGATGTCAGGAAAGTGTGAAGGCAAGAGGAGAAGGGGACGACAGAGGATAAGATGGTTGGACAGTGTCATCGAAGCGAGCAACATGAATCTGACCCAACTCCGGGAGACAATCAAAGATAGGAGGGTCTGGTTTGCTCTGGTCCATGGGGTCAAGAAGAGTTGGACACGACTAAACGACTAAACAACAAGAACAATCATTTAAAAACTAATCCTTGCCTATCTTTATCAGTGCGTACTGTCTCAAGTTGTGTTTCAGAGATGTTACCTCATTTGAAAGGGGGTGAATTATGGACAATGGTATAAATCTACTATCCAGTTAAGTGTCTAGCAATGCAAAAATCCTCATTTGGAAGCTGTGTGGTTATTTCTGTTTGCATAAGTAATGTAATATGCTAGAGCTGTAGACTGACTCTGTACTCCTTGAGGAAGCTAACACAAATATGAGTTATAGTGAGATAGATGCTGTTCCCTCTCCTTAGAGCAGACGGACCTGTTTCTTTTTCTTTTTTTTTCTTCCCTTTTTTTTTGAAGCAAAACATTTAGCAGGTGACATTTTCCCCACAGCTGTGTCTTCATGCCAAGAAAAGCAGAGGCATATTCTGCCTATCTCTGAAATCTAGCCAAAATCAAGCATATAACAGATTTTCATTGTAATCCAACACAGGTCTACTCAAATGCAAGCCTTGCTGAGTTCAGTGGGCTAATTACAAGTTAAGTGTATATCACAGGATCATAGAATAATGAAGTTGGAAGGGACCTATAAGGCCATTGGGTCCAACCCCTGTTCAATGCAGGAATACAAATCCCAGGTGGTTGTCTAAATTTCTCTTGAATGCCTCCCAGTGTTAGAGCACTTACCAACCATCAAAGTAACTGGTTCCATTGTCGTAGTGCTCTAACAGTTAGGAAGCTTTTCCTGATAGTCAACTGAAATCTGGCTTCTTGTAACTTGAGCCCGTTGTTGCATGTCCTGCACTCTGGGATAACTGAGAAGAGATATTGCCCCCCTCCCCCATATGACAGTCTTTCAAATATTTGAAAAGTGCCATCATATCTCCCCTCAGTGTTCTTTTCTCAAGACTAAACATGCCTGGTTCTTTCACTCTCCTCATACGCCTTGGTTTACAGCCCCCTGATCACCCTTATGACCTCCTCTGAACTTGTTCCAATTTGTCAGCATCCTTCTTAAAGTGTGGTGTCCAGAACTGGATACAGTACTCAAGATGAGGCCTAACCAGTGATGAATAGAGGGGAACTAGTACTTTGCGGGATTTGGAGAATATACTTCTGTTAATGCAGCCTAAAAGAGCATTTGACTTTTTTGTAGCCACATTACATTGTTGGCTAATATTAAGTTTGTGATCTATGATGATTCAAAGATCCTTCTCACTCGTAGTATTGCCAAATCAGGTATCCCCCATCTTGTACCTCTGTGTTTGTTTTCTTTTTTCGAGGTGTAATACTTTGTACTTATCCCTGTTGAACTTCATTCTGTTGTTTTCAGCCCAGTGCTCAAGCCTATCTAGATCATTTTGAATTTCTTTTTTTGTCTTCCAGAGTATTAGCTATTCCACCCAATTTTGTGTCACCCATAAATTTGATAATTTGATTAGCATTCTCTGTACCCCCTGATGACCCCATGTCATTAATAAAAATGCTGAAGAGCGTTGATCCCAGGACTGAACCCTGTGCTACCCCACTTGATATATCTTCTCAGTTTGAGAAGGAGCCATTAATTATCACCCTCTGAGTACAATTCTGTAGCCAACTGTGTATCCACCTGACAGTTGTCTTAATCAACCCACACCTATTTAGCTTAATAATCAGAATATCATGGAGCACTCTGCCAAGAGCTTTGCTGAAGTGAAGATATACTATGTCTACAATATTCCTTCTGTCCACAAGAGAGGTGATCCAATAAAAATGAGATATAATGTATACTTGCTGCTTTAAATGAGTCCTAGGTTTCCTATGGTATCAATAGGAATACCAAAACTAACTTTGGCCATACAGGCATGTAAATCAGGGACTGCTTCCTTTTTTGCACTTCATATTTCGACTGTGTACATATACTGGTTCATTGTTGTCTCCCATCTTGCTTCCAGGAGCTCAATGAAACTTTATATTGCATCCTTCACAGTATAATCCATCTGTATGCAACTTTAGTGCTCTCTTGATATCATACACTACATTTATTCACAGCATGTGTTTAATGCTAGGATGAGTGCATATATAGGATATCATGGTTTGACTGAGAGAGAGAGAAAGCAAGGAGTCAAGAGTGCCTGATTTTTCCTAAATATTCTACTGTTAAAATGCTGGTACAAACATTTTAGGGATACAGCAGCAGAACTAACATTTATATTATAAAGAAGCAGTTTTCTGTAGCAAACATTTCAAAGTGAACGATAAATTGAAACAGTGCCCCAAGATTTATTGTGGCTTGCAAAAACCATTACCCATGGGGCAGTGGGCAGATATCATATAAATATATGCTGGTGCAGACATTTAAAAAGCACCCTGTAGCAACTAACATCTCGTGTAGCCTAGCATGACTCAGTTTGGGAACATCAAAATACACCACCTCCCCACAAAACCCAGAATAAACTGCAGCTGTAAGCAACATATATTTGGGGATTTTAGTGGACTTAATGCCACACTCTTATGCATGTTTATTCAAATACAGGCTCAGTCAGAAATATGTGGCACACTGAAGTCCCTCTGAAATCAATAATCTCATCACATACCAGACTATATTTGTATAAAGCAACAGTAGCAGCAAGAACAGAAGAAATAAAAATAAAAGCAATGAAAAGAACACTACATGCAACATGTAGATTTTCAGGTCACTCTCTTCCACGCTTCAATTAAGAAGCCTGACCAGAATTAATGCTGTTTTCTCTTCCAACAGTTATTTCTGCCTTCATACAAGGAAAGCCAACACTGCATAGTAGGGTATGATGAATTTGTACATACTGTAGGCAAACAGTATCTGCTGCTCAAAAGATAGTCCAGGATCTTGGCATCTTGCCAGTGCATTTTAATTCTATTAGTTCATATTCTTTTGAAAGACTTGTTATGTAGCTTGATACACTCATACACACCAATGTCTAGTTTTGCTGCTTCAGCTACTTGCGAACTGACATCAATGTTTTACTTTGGAACCATGATGAAATTTTAAGATGCAGAATGCTCTGTTTGGACACTTGCACGGCTTCCTTTTACAATACATGAGTGTGTAGAAAAGAACCTTTCAGAATACAGTCCAGATAATAAAAAGGTCATGGCACTTGTCATCCTGAGATGTCAAAACTGTAAAGGAAAACTTCCTCTCTTTAGCTTGGATTTCTGAACAGGGCACAATGAGACTATACATTGCTCAGGCGCTAGGTTCCAGTCCCACTGCCTGCACAGTAGCAGGAACAGTCATTAGGTCTTTTGTACTACAGTAGTCCATAAATTGTATTCCATAAATATTCAAATTTTGCCACACTGACAAAGATGGAGGGGAGCACTGACAACATCCAGATCAGCACACATAAACCCCCCCCAAATTAACACACACACACACACACACACACACACACACACACACACACACACACACACGGCATATTCCGGGTCCACTGACAGGTTATAAGTGGAGAAAGGAGATCCAATTCTGAGACGCATCAACATTCCCACAGACTCTCAAACATTGCTATTCTCATCATACTCTGATTCTCCACCTGAACCCATTTCTGACATTCCAGGTTATAAATATGCAGGAAGACTTCTAGTCCAACAAATGATAGAGATATTAACCCTGAAAACTGGCAAAATAGCCTTTATAATGATAGCAGGTCTTTTTTAAAAAGAAAAGCCACCCCATCCTTGCCTCCAGAAGAAGTATGCAAGATTACTAGTAGATTAAGAAGAAGTAGCTGTGTTAGTCCCCCTTCATGGATTGCTGCCTTGTTGTGGTGAAGGGGCTTGAGTAATTCAGAGAAGCTATGGGCTATGCTGTGCAGGGACACCCGAGACGGACAGGTCATAGTGGAGAGTTTTGACTAAACGCGATCCACCTGGAGCAGGAACTGTCAAGCCACTCCAGTATCTTTGCCAAGAAAACTCCATGGACAGAAGCAAAAGGCTAAAAGATATGATGCTGGAAGATGAGCTCCTCAGGTCAGAAGGCGTCCAACATGCTACTGAGGAAGAGTGGAGGACAAGGACAAGTAGCTCCAGAGCTAATGAAGTGGTTGGGACAAAGTTGAAAGGACGCTCAGCTGTGGATGCACCTGGAAGTGAAAGGAAAGTCTGATGCTGCAAAGAAAAATACTGCATAGGAACCTGGAATGCAAGATAGCGCAACGCCTTCTCCCACCTAGATCTACTTGAATCACTCGATATAGCCAGGAAAGGCGGCCAAGGGGCCTAATGCCAAGGGATGCTCAGAACTTTGGAATAAACTTCCATCAGAAATTCGCCTGGCACCCTCGCTGGGTGTTTTTAAGAGCCAAGTTAAGACCTGGCTCTTTAGGCAGGCCTTCCCTCTAGTCACTACCTGATTTTCTTTTCTTAACTTCCATTTTGCTTTTCCGTCTTGAATGCCACTAATATTATTGATCTGAATTGCCGTTTTAATTGTTTATATGTTGTTTTTCATGTTTTTACTGTAAGCCGCC